AACACAAGTGGAACTCCTAATCCTGGACCTATAAACATAGCCATGTTTGGGGAGATAGTGTCTTTCTTTGAAGATGTTATCAGAGGGTTTGGGGGTGTGAAGGATCTTGGGATAGGAGAGACTATTCTGGGTTAGCAGGTGGGCCCCAAATGCTACCACAGTGTCCCTGTGACAGACAGGAGGCAGAGCGAGGCTAGGGAGGAGGAGCCGGCCCTGGGAAGACTCAGCAGACAGCCTCGGAGCCTTGGTGGGGAAACGATGCAGCCACACCCCCGGAAGACAAGGCCAGCCCCTCCCCGGAACATGGAAGGGAGTGCGGGGTGCCAAGCCTTCATTTCACACAGTGACCCCAACTCTGGCTTCTGGTCTCTGGACTGGAGAGAACAGGGTCTATGGTGTTGAGCCCCCCAGTTTGTGGTCGTGTGTGGGGTGGCCTCAGGACACTCCTATGGCTGCTCCCAGGTGCTGGCCCCGTTTCCCACGAAGACAGCGCCTGCAGGTGCCCGCTGCCTCCCCCGGGAGGCCAGACAGAGGGACGCAGGCAGGAAGACGCGGGCGTTTGGCCCTTCCGCTGCGCATCGTGTTCGGTTAGACGCCCGGGCGGGGCGCACGCAGCACCTCCCAGGTCCGGACGCACCGCCCGCGCCGCTCCCGCGGGGCTGGACTCGGTGGGCCGGTCGGGGCTCAGCTCCGGGGGCCGGGCCTCTCCTGGCGCAGGGCCTTGGCCTGCAGGCCCCGCGGCTCCTCTCGTGGACCTCTGTCCCCGCCCCACCCAGGACCGGGGGGCGTCAGGGACGGCGGGGGACACCTGGCTCCGTACCCCCCACCCCTCGGGCGCGGCAGGGACGGCCGGGGACACCTGGCTCTGCCCTCTGGCTCCGTCCTTCCGGAGAGCTGCGTCCGGCCAGTCTTCCCACCCGTCTTGAGGCTGCTTCTGCGCTGGCTCTTTCCCAGGCGGCTGAGGCCCCTCGAGCCGCGCCGAGGGGCAGACCCCGATGCCGCAGCTCCTCAAGCCACCTGTCTGGGCTCCTGGCCGTCTTTCTCATCAGGATGCTCTTCCGCTGGGAACCATGTGCAGGCGCGCTCCCTGCAGCCAGAGAACACTGTGCTCCGAGAGGCCAGGCCCGCTGCCTCGGGGCCCTAGGCCGTCTGCCCTGTGTCTTTGCCGCAGCCCTGGACGGGACTTGAGGGAACAGCCAGGGCCTGGTCGTCTGGGGCCACCTCTCCAATTCTGCCGACCACAATGCCGTCCACCAGTTGCAGGGCCCGGGTGTTTCAGCAGAATTGTGCTTCACTAGGTTTTCACTGGCCCATTCGGGGCCGGTAGTTGGCCGGGCCTTTCTTCCGAGGAGCCTGTGAGTGGACTTGAACTGCCGGCCTTGCGATGAGAGCCACTGGGCAGACCCTTGCACCGCGCAGACCGCCACACCCACGAGGCTCACGTGTCTGTGAAGCCGAGTCCGGGAGGAAGCTGCGCCGGCTCCTGGGCGAGATGTGTGGTCCCGCTCCTGGCTCCGAAGACTCTGGAAGAGACAGCTTCTGCTCGCGAGTCCCTGGAGCTGAGCCTGCTTTTCTGGTCGTTGTGTGACCACGAGGGGGCAGCTTCGACGGCCCTGAGGGCTTCCGCTGCCCTGAGCATCACGCCCACAGCTGGCTGGCACAACCTCCTTCTGGGGGCTTGTCCTTTCTTGGTAAATACCACCTCCTTCTTAGCCCTTGGGTGGTACACACGGTTAAGCTCAGCTGCCGAGACGTTGGAGGTTGGAGTCCACCCTGAGACACCTTGAAAAAAGGTCTGTGGCCATTTCTGGGAAGCCGGCCACCGTCGGGTCCAGCTCTGCTCTGACACAGCCGCTGCGGATCAGCTTCTCAGCAGGCGGTTTGGTTTTGGGCTTCCTGTTTGGTTTGCTCACACACACCCCACTCCTTTGCCCCCACATGCCACGTGTGACTGTGCTGTGATGGTGACGTTCCAGGCCTCTGGGGTGGAGCGGAAATGACCCCTCTGTGAGCTGAGGACAGGAGCCCTAGTGGTGCTGTGCCTAACAGAAACGTTAGAGGTTCAAACCCACCAGCCGCTCCATGGGACAAAGATGTGACACTCTGCTTCTGTAAAGATTTGACAGCCCTGGAGACCCTCTAGGGCAGTTCCACTCTGTCCTCCAGACATACTGTGGGTCGGAATGGACTCCATGGTAGTGAGTTTGGTTTGGGCTTTGCTTCCCTGAAGACTGACAGAAAGCTGGCAGTTCGAACCCTACCAGCCACTCCTTGGAAGGAAGATCAGGCAATTTACTTCTGTAGAGATACCACTACGGAAACCCAAGAAGGGGTTGCCATGAGTTGGATCCCACTCCATGGCAGCGAGTTTGGTTTTTTGGTTTTTGCGTCCATGAAGATTGACAGCTTTGGAGACCCTGTGGTGCAGTTCCACTCTGTCCTCTAGGGGCGCTGTGGGTCTGAAAAAACCGCAAGGGTTTTTTTGTGTGCTGAGCAGCAGTTCCTGACATGGCCACGAGGTGGCAGCACAGCAGGCCTCCGCCGGGAAAATCAACCTTCTGGAAACAGATGAGGCATGGCCTGCTGGCTGGCCCTGACCCCAGGAGGCTCAGGTTCCCAACACGCATCACCACAGGCCAATCTGTGTGTCACGGGACACAGTGGCAGTATTACTATATCAGAGGGCCCCTTGATGCACCACACGCGCGTTAGGGCAGGATGTCCATCTGCTGAGCGCCCCGAAGAGGGAAGCAACGAACACTCTCCTCAAGTCAGCAGGCCGAGGCACTGGCCAAGGTCGTGGCCACTGAGAAACACAAGCTTGTTTCTAATTTTACTGTGGCCAATTTCAAACATATATCAGAAAATGGCCCTATGCCCCAGGGCATGCTGCTCACACGGCAATCCCACCATTTTCACGTTTAGTGCTCCTGCCCCCAGTTTTCTCTTTTCCACTGGAGCATTTATAAAGCAAAGTCCAGACATTGTGGCGATTAACCGTGAGTCTGCAGTTTGTACTTGTAAATGGGTAGGACATTTGTCCGTGGCCACCAAGCCACTATCACTATTGCCAACCGTCACTGACCTTGTTATCATCTAACTCTGGCTGAGTTGGCTCCAAGTCGTGCTGACTCCACGTAAACAGAACACAGCAGGGCCCGGGGTCAGCTCCACAGCCACAGAAATGCCGTTGTGCCGGTCTTCTGGGAATGCCTCCAGCCTACAGGCCTCCTCTCCCAGCATGTGTCACACACGGTTCTGTCGGGATCCGCGGGGATTCCGTGGCTGACTTTTGGAACTAAATTGCCAGGCCTTCCCCCTCGCCTGTGTGAGTCTGGAAGCTTCCCTCAACCCTGTGCACCATGGGGGACCCTGCAGGCATTTGAAATACCAGTGGCATAGCCTGCAGCCTCACAGCCACACACAAGCCACCATGGCGCAACAGACGACTGCGGCGGTATCACGGGATGCCAAGGTTCCAGTCCAGTTTCCCCAGCTGCCTCACAAGTCTGTCCCAGTTGTTCTATCCTCATCCAGATGCGGTGCACAGGTTCCACTCAGTTATGTCCGGAAGCTCTTTTGTTCTCCAAAAATCCGTGTTTTTCCCAGGCCTTTCACTTACCGGAAAAGCAGGCATTTGTCCTGCGGGGCACCCGCCCTCAAGGTTGGGCCGCTTGCCTCCTGCCCGTGGCTGAGGGCCTGGCACCCAGCGGGCACTCTGTCAAGTTGTCGTTGTTGTGTGCCGTGGAGTCCGCCCCGACTCCTAGCGAGCTCTCCTTGGGTTTCCGAAGGGGTATCACTATGGAAGTAGATCGCCCAACCTTCCTTCCGGGGAGTGGCTGATGGGTTTGAACCGCCAGCCTTCGGGTTAGCAGTCAAGTGCCTTAGGCACTGCGCTACGCTACCGGAGCTCGGAGCTCGTCCGTCAACATTAGCTGGATAAACAGTTTCAACGGCGATAAACCCCCAGAACAAGGGGCTTGGTCTCAACAAGGGTGACCTCATGGCGCTCCTTCCCGGGGCGACCAGGGGCCACCCAGACCGAAGCCCCCGCTGGGCCCCACTCTGCGCAGAGGCGCCTCCTCCGGACCCAGGCCGGTCCAGGCCGGCACCTGACGCACTGGCTCGGATGAGAAAAAACGTGTGAATCTGTGAGCTTTCCTTGTGTCCCCAAAGTTTTCCTGGGCGCCGCTCCTACCTTGTTATTTATTGTGCTTTTGAGAAAACTGACGGGGCAGAAAAAAACAAAGACTCACACCCACATTCCCATCACCCACCATCAAAACTGTTAGAACTGCGTCGCACTTGCGCCGTATGCGTCGCCGGTTTCTGTAATAAGGAAACGCAAGACAGTGCCGGACCCTCCCCTCCCTCCCCGGCTCCCGGCACCCTCCTTCCTCGCCCGCGAAAGGCAGCCTCGGGCAGCTGCCCCGCGCGCCTGCGCCGCCGCCGCTGCGCCGGACACGGCCGCTCGCCGGGTCATTCCTTCCCGGGATATGCCTGAGTGCTCAGACCCCGAGCTTATGCCGGAGCGGCCTGGCGCCCGAGATACGGGAGCAGACCCGCCAGGTCCCGACACGCCCGGCCCGAGCGGCGACGCCTTATTCACGTGGCTGGAGAAACGCTCTGCCTCAGAGCCACGGCCTCAGCCTCCCCACCCTGGAAATCCACGCGGAGAGGACAGACCGCCAGATATCCCTCAGCCTGAACGTCAGCGTCGCGTGCGCCCGGGGCTGCTGACCGCCCCGCCCCCTGCTTTCTTCCCATTGGCTCTTGCCCGGATACGCCCCGCCTACAGTCTCCTCCCCCTGCTCCCTTCACCTTTCACCTCCTCACCTTCTGGGGCTCCCCAGGGCTCAGACTCTGCCCCCGGGCCGCAGGTATTGGTGTGTTGTCTGTCTATCACAAGACGTGCGGCCATCGATTGGCTGAGGGGTGTAGGAAGGCACATAGTCTGCGCGTGTTGCGCAGAGGGCGCGTGCGTAGTGGCGGCGGGCGTTATGGCGGCTCGGTGCGTGGGGCTGGCGCGGCGCGCTCTCCCCGCCCTGGCGCGGTCTCTCAGGTAAGGAACGCCGCTAACTGGGCAGCGGCTCCCGCCTCGATTCGCGCGGGCCCGGGAGCTAAGTGTCGGCGGCCTCCGAGTGGGCCCAGTCGGGCACGCGCGGGTCGGGGGACCGCGGGGCCGGGCCCTCGAGTGCAAGGGGCGGTTCACCCACGCGTGTGCGGCCTGGGCGCCTGTAGGCGCCGAGCCCAGGAAGCGCGGCGTCCCGAGGCCGAGCCGCCCCGCCCGGTCCGCGCTCTTCCAGCTCCCAGACCGCGGTCCCGAGCGTCGGGTCAGAGGGCCGGGGACGAGTGGTTTCAACGGGCGCGGCGAGGCCGGGCCGCCGCCGTCCTTCCGCGTTGGTGGGCGTCCCTGCATCGCGGGAGTCGAGGCGGTGCAGGAGCTGTCGGGTCGGGGTGCCGGCGCCGGGACCCTCCCGTACCGGGAGCGGGCAGGTTCTGTGCCCGTCGCGGCCGCCGCCCCCTTTACCCCCGGAAGTTGGGCGGCGCTTCCGCCTGGCTGGGACCGAGCGCTGATGAAAGAGCGCCGCTGGCCCTGGCAGCGCGGCCTGGGCTTGCCGCGTTTCCGGGGTGGCGATCGGACTGGGCGGTAACAGCCCCGTCACTGGAGGGGCGTTGGGAGCGTTGGCTGCCCGTTTGTGCCCGCCCTGCCTTAGCCATGCCTCCTCGCACCCCGGGGTCAGTGCACTTGGGGCCCCAGTACGGTGCTCGCCCCGCCGCCAGTGTTGCTGGCACGTTGCTGGGACGCTGAACAGGCTTCAGCGGAGCTTCTCCGCTGCGAGAGAGGCAAAAAGGCCTGGCTTTCTCCAGTGAAACTGGATCACAGTGGGGTGATCTGGAACGTGGGGCCGCCACGCGTCGGGGCCACTCCACAGCCGCTGACAGCCGCGCCAGTAAAGTGTGGCTGACCTTCGTTAGAGCTGAAAACGAGTCTTTCTCCCCAAGTGGTAGGCAGAGGGTTTACTGCACCTTTGTAAGACCGCTCCATCTCGCTCTCAGAAGCAGGGTGACCACGTGTGGTCCTGTCCGTAGGCCGCCGCCTCGGTTGCTGTGCACGGCCACAAAGCAGAAGAACAGTGGCCCCAACTTGGAAGAGGACTCGGGTCCCGGGGAGCAGAAGGCCGACCCTCCCTCCCCGGAGAAGGTGCTCTTGGAGGAGAAGGTCAAGCTGGAGGAGCAGCTGAAGGAGACAGTGGTAAGGCCTGGCGGGCTCCCAGGGCACACCTGGCGGACCAGTGCCTCGAGCTGGTTTCCAGAGGCTCAGCCATGGCCGACGGAAACCCTGGACCACAGTAGTCTGGTCTCATTGCAGGGGGTCACCGTGATTGGGTCGTGGTCGGGGAGCACAGCAGCGACACCTCTTAGCCCCAAGCTGGAGCTTGACCCTAGTTGGAAACATGCAGCGGTGCCCCGCTCAGAGGTGGCTGGGTGCGCGCGCGGCTCTGCGTGTGTGTTGCTCTCCACAGCCCTGCCAGCGGTCCGGTTCCCCACATCAGGAAACTTCCCGAGACGACATTACTGGCAGGACTGTGGTGAACAGCACACGCTCAGGCAGCGGGGTCAGCAAACCGCTTGGGACGGGCTGGAAATCCTGCGTGGAACGTGCGGCTGCAGCGCCTCGGGCAGCCTGTTTCGCTGGTGCTTGGCCACTGTCCAGGTCCTCGTGGCCCTAGTTCCGGCACGTGCCATATGGTGGTAGTGAATGCAGGCTCCAGCTGGTCTTGCACGTGCTGTGTGTTGGGGAGTTACTACTTCACGTGACAGTATAGGTAGCAGAAACCAAGTTCTCTGAGGGCTTGAGAACACATGGAGAGGTCACATGGCAGTGCTGTTCTGAGCTCCGTACATGAAGCCTCACGACCCTCTGAGCACCATGTCAGCACCCCACCTCACAGGTAGAGAAGCTGGGGCACAGAGATGAAAAGGGCTTCCCGAGGTCACCTGGCTAGCAAGGGGCAGAGCCGGGTAGAAAACTGGGTTAGTCTGAGGAACTTTGCTGGTACCCATGCTTCAGTGCCTGACGGTTAAGAGCAGGGGGCCTTCATAGAGGCCCCCGGGGTAACCAGGAGCTCAGGAGATAGAGTACAGGAAGATTGGTGAGCGGTGAGGGAAGTTACCGGACGGACTGGTTATTACAGTGTCTGAACGGAGGGGCCCCTGGATGGCATCACAACCACCACAGGCCCCGACGGAGTTTCACGTGTCTGGGGAGCAGCCTCTGCCCCGTCCGCATGCACCTTTGGAGCTGTCCGCCGAGGCGTGGGGCGCCTGCTCTGGTTGCCCTGAAGGTTCTAGATCCCTGACCCACTTGGTTTTGAGGAGGCGCAGAGGAGCGTGCATGCCTGGCCTCGTTCCTCTGCTGTGCGAGGATGAGGATGGGCTAGGCTGCTTCCCACTCAGTGGAATGAGTACTGGTGGCTTTCACTCATTCTCACCGAGTTGCCTTATCTGTGGAGAAATGGTGGTGATGACGAGTGATAACATATGCGCTTGGGTCTGGAGCCGGTTCTGAGGCTATGCCCTGTCAGCTTTGCGGCCCCTGAACTTGTTCTGTTTTTCACGGACGTTTCTTTCTTTAAGGAGAAGTACAAGCGTGCTTTGGCAGACACTGAGAACTTGAGGCAGAGGAGTCAGAAGCTGGTGGAGGAGGCAAAGTTATACGGTAACTGTCAGCCCAACCCCAGGTGACACTGGTCCTGGGGGTCACCGGGAGGGGTGGGACGCAGCCACACCTCTCAAGCCGGCAGCAGTGCTGTGTCTGCCTGCGGCCGGAAGTCAGGGCTCTCTCTCTCTGTGAGACGAAGGGCCTGTGGCTCAGGGTGGGCTGTCCGCGGTCAGGCCGTCAGCTCTTTCCTTACCACGCCTTCATTCTGGCTGCCATCTCTGGAGCTGTGAGCCTCACTGTGTAACTGAAGAATGGGGGTAATGGTTATGTTATGGGACCACAGGCACATAGCTGTTAAGGAACAGTGTTGGGGTTTGAGCCCAGCTAGCAGGGTGCTACACACCCCTGCTGTCCTGCCTGTTTAGGAGCCTGGCTGTCCTCCCGGAGGTCACTGTCCCTTTGTCCAAAACAGAATTGAAGGGGAGATGGTTCTGCAGGTTCAACTCCCGGTCTCCGTCCTCCTTCCTCACGTGAACACATTCTTCACGCTTACTTGGCTGTAGTCTCAGGGTTTTCTTATTAAGCCGCAGAATTCTAGGGCAACACATGGTCTCCTGTGCAGGTCACCCGCTGGTGGCTCACTCTCCTCTCCCCGCCGCAGGCATCCAGGGCTTCTGCAAGGACTTGCTGGAGGTTGCCGACATCCTGGAGAAGGCCACACAGAGTGTCCCGAAGGAAGAGGTCCACGCGGACAACCCGCACCTCAAGAGCCTGTACGAGGGCCTGGTCATGACCGAGGTCCAGATGCAGAAGGTGTTCACCAAGCACGGCTTGCACAGGTTGGACCCTGTCGGGGCCAAGTTCGACCCCTACGAGCATGAGGCCTTGTTCCACGCACCGGTGGAGGGCAAGGAGCCGGGCACGGTGGCGCTGGTCAGCAAGGTGGGCTACAAGCTGCACGGGCGCACGCTGCGGCCCGCCCTGGTCGGCGTGGTCAAGGACGCCTAGCTGCCGCGAGCGCTGCTCTGCTGTTGGTCACTCGCTGGGACTTGCGAGGCTGGGCCCCGTCAACTGTGACTACTTCTGGCTCCTCCCACGCCTTGTTGGGGAGATGAAGTAACCAGCTGCAAGACAGAAGACTAAGCTGGCTGCGTGCTGGTGCCGTCAGACCGACTCCGCCCCGACTGTTAGCACGTGGTTACTAGATTCACGTTCTTGGGGCCTGCGGCCGGCCGGTAGAGGACCACGAAGCATGCTGTATCTGCTCAAATGGGGGTCATAAAGGTGTCTCAATAAAGCGTCTTTGGGAATCGTGTTCGCCGCCTGGACGTGCCGTCTCTACCTCTCCCCCGGCAGGTCTGTCGCTGGAGGTGCGAGCTCCGTGGTACTGGGTAAGCAGCAGGGAGAGTTAAACCTTGTTGCTCTCTGGGTGTTTTTCTGGTGTCTGTGAGGAACGGATGTGGGTGTGTAACTAGTTGCTATCTAGCTGTAGGTAACTTCTGGTCCCAGGCCTTTCCCTGGGGGCTGATGTGAACGGCTGGTACTCCATTTTGCCGGTGACTGGATTCAACACTGCTTTTATTCACGTGAGTCTGGTGGCATGGTGCCTCAGGCATCTGACTGCTAACCAGAAGGTTGGCGGTTCACACTCACCAGCCACTCTGTGGTGGAAGGAAGACGGGGCAATCTGCTTCTATGAAGACTGGCCACCTCAGAAACCCAAAGAGCATTGTGATGAGTCACGACTGACTCGACAGCAGTGAGTTTTTGTTCATGTGAACTGAGATGTTTTCATCTCTGTTCAGACGGTTGCTGACTGCCTCGGGAACGTTCCCTAAGGGCCGTCTGCTTGGGAGACCTTAACTATTAGTGGTCCATTTGGCAGTTTTAAGAGGATCAGAGCCCTGTGTTCATCATCTTCCCGTTTTGGGTAACTGTGTTGGGTCCTGAGCCACCAGGGAGGGTTTGCCATGCTGCCTGCCCCATCCCCAGGCCATGGGGTTAACAGATGACGGACACACGGGAGCAGGTGGACCTGTGGCTCTGGCCTGTCGGGACAGCAGAAGCTGTGGCCACAGCAGGCATACAGCTGCCTTGCCGGGCACCATCACCGGCGGGACTTCATGGGCCTCGTCCATGTCAACAGCACGTGACTGTGCTATCAGAACCAGGAAGAGGTGCCCCCTGCTGTCTGGAGGCTCGCAAGAGGATGCTGCTGTCAGATGCACTTGGCTGGGGACAGCCACACGGCAGTTTGGCTTATGATTCTGGAAGGTGGCGTGTTTTCCCACGCGGTTCCCTCTTAAACCTTTAAGCACCTAAAGGTACTGGCTAGAGAGCTCCCACGGGACTCGGGGAGCCTGGGGTCTTGTGTGCCACCACTGCCGTGGGCAGCAGCAGCAGAACACACCAGGGGCCGGGTGGCCCGGCAGAGCAGGGAGGGAGGGGCAGCAACGGGCTGGACCAGGGAGAGACCCTCTGCCTCAGTCCCACCTTCCTTACGGAACTTGACCGCGGGCCCAGTAAGCTCCTGACGCTGTCAAGACTGACAGGCACACAGACGCCTGCCTGTTCTCGCTGCTGGGAGCCCTCCAGGCTCAGGAACAACAGAAACTAGGACTAAACTTGACCCTCACTGAACTGGAACTCCATGCAGCAAAGCCAAGAACAAGCCGCAGCCAGTGGCTCTCGGGACCCTGGTGACAGAGTCCTATCATCTTCAGAACCACTGGCTAAGATGGTGGATGTAAAGGCCCAGCTCACTGCTGGTTGGGAGTGGGTGGTACTGGCCCATACTTAGGGGACAGTGTGGGGCCCTGGGGCCACCACCCCAAGGCTCCATACTTGATGTTGCCAAAGAAACAGGCTTGACTGACAGGGTGCCCCGCACTAGCATGTACCATCCCAACTAAAGCCACGTGCAAGCTACTTGAAACGTTTTATTTAACGCTGAAAACCTCCCTCGGGGTAGACGGGGACAGAGGAAGGAAAAGGCACCTGGATTAAGTCCTTGGAAACAATGAAGGTATTCTTTCAGTAACTGCTTCAATGTAACCCCAAGCCCAGCTCCTCTTGGAATCCAACAGTCTCTTGGTACCAACGGGCAGGAGAGGCAGACACTCTGTGAGGGAGAGATGGCCTTGGGGACTCACCACGGAGCAGGGCCTGAGCAGCAGCTGGAGAGACAGGCTCCCCTCCCAGGAGAGGGAGGGCCCAGAAACAGCTCTTGAAGAGGCCTATGTAGTCCAAGTCACTCGGAGCCCTGGTCTGTGACAGGTCCTGGCGAGCCTACCCCTGCTGCTCACAGCTAGTCTGCAGGGGCCCGGTGAGCCCCTCAAGATGCCCCAGTCTGGCTGGTGTGGCCATGTTCTGGTGAGGAGGGTACCGGAGCAGGAAGAAACCCCAGAGGAGGTGAATCCAGGGCCCTGAAAGTAGCCCTTGTGAGACGAGGTGGCCGGAGCAGCCTCGGCAGAGCGCAGAGCCCTGATGTCAGGTGTCCCTGCCGTGGGTGAGCCCGTCCTTCCACAGGGACCACAGGCTCTGCCAGGAAGGGCGGCCTCGGGCTTTGGGAACACGCTGTAACGGCTGCCGTGCATGCTTGGGGGCTGCTGGACCCACTGCGACTCCTGATGACCCTCCTGCCACGGTCTCACCTGTGACAGGAGCCGCTACCCCGACCACCTGTCTAAAGTGCCAGGTGCCAGGCTGTAGGGCAGCAGAGGGGGCACCACCACCCACGCATAGCCATCGTGCTGGTAGAATCGGGCAAGTCCCATCTCAGCCTTCTCCAGACACTCACTGGGGCCGGCAGTCTGTGGCAGCAGGGCTCTGGGGTCTGAGTCGGATGTCCACACCCGTTCACTACTGCTTCCCTCAGAGGCAGGGCAGGAACTAGGCCTTAGCTAAGGGACTCATTTAAGAAGCTCAAGCAGGGCCCGCGGCTGCTCCTCCCTGAGCCACGGGCAGCCATGGCGCCGGCCTCAGGAGGCATCCCTTGATATCCACCCACTCTCTGTGAGGAAGTTCAAAATCCTCTTCTTGAGGACCTTGTCCAGGTAGCTGGGGAGGCGGCTCTTGGCAGGGACGCCCTGGCGCTTCTGCAGGTGGTCTTTGATGATGATTGTCTTGGCGGTGACGTAGCGCGCGGGGCTCAGGTTCAGGGAGCTGCACAGCACCTTCTCGCGGTCCGACAGCAGCTCGAAGCCGGGCAGGTGCTCCATGGCCGCGAACTCGCCGTCGCGGCCGTCCTCCCTGCCCCTCTTGGAGGCGGCCAGGCTCTTGTTCTCCTTACGCTTCTCCCGCTTGTGCCGCGCGGCCTCGTACTCGGCCGACTCCTCCATCTTGGTGATGCCGTTGCGCCGGTACCGCTGCAGCTCCCGGATCTTGGCCCGCAGGGCCTTCTCCTTGTGCATGTTGTCAAACAGGTCGTCCAGCTCCTTGCAGGACAGGAACTGGCAGAGCGGCCGCAGCCGCAGCCGCAGCTCCTTCTCCTCCTTGGCCACCTTGCGCCTGGCCGCCTTCTCCTTGTCCTTGCGATCCTTGCCCAGGAAGGCCGGCACCAGGTTGTAGTCGCGGGCGATGTTCTTGCGCCGCTGCCTCTCGCGCAGCTTCCGCACATACATGTCCACGTGGGCGCGCTTCAGCTCGATCTCCACGTCGTCGTCGTCGTAGTTTACCGACAGCCCGCTGATGAGCGTCTCGGCCTCCTGGTCGTACTCGATCTCATAGTCGTCCCGGAGCGGCATGTACCCCAGCTGCTGCTGCTCGGCCGCCGAGATGTCCAGCGGGGGCAGCGGTGTGGTGAGGCTGGGCGAGAGCGGGCCGCCGCCGGGGCACGTGTGGTCAGTGACGCGGTTGGGGATGGTGTCGGGGATGCAGGCCTTGCCCAGGTTGCCGTGGATGTACATGCTCACGTAGTGCTCCATCACCTCCTGGGGCGTCCGGGACGCGCCCACGTGCGCAGCCATGTCCTCCTGCAACGAGAGGGCACAGTGAGCTCTGAGCCACTGGAGGCTGCTCCCTGAAGGTCCCCGCACCCTCGTCCCCGCCACCGAGTCGCTGGGCTAGGCGCTCCTTCCTGCGCAGATCTGCAGGGGACACCCGGGCTGGAGGTCAGAGATGGTGGGCCACCAGGGAGAGGGGACTGGCCCGGGCCGTGGGGTAGGGTGGTGGCTGGTGAGACTGTAAGATGGTGCCATGCTGAGCTCTGTAGCAGTTGACGGGGGACTCACCACCCCGACCCCGTGTATTCCCAGATACACAATCAGGGCTTTCCCACGCTCAGAAAGGGGCCAACCACCGAAATGCCCACGGACAGACGAATGGATACACATGCAGTCCACCCACAGACAGGACAGTACTCAGCCGGAAAGAGACACGGAGTCCTGAGACCGCCACACGGGGACCTTGAAACCCTTGGGCCGAGTGGGTCAGTCAGTCCCACAAGACAAGTCCTGTGTGATGTCACAGAGAAGAGATGAGACTTTCAGTGGTTCTGGGGACGGGACAAGGGGGACGTGTGCTCCAGGTGGGGAATGACCTGGAGGGACCGTGAGAACGGGGCGCAACCTGAAGGACGTCAGCCCACCCTGGCCTGAGTGTGTACAAGCTGTCAAGATCACGTACGTTCTGTTGGGTCGATCTCACCACAAAAGGACCCGGCCAGCAGCGCCACGCTGTCCCCGGCACCCGGCCCGCTCCCCTCAGCTTCCTCCCTGCCAGGCCAGGGAGCGGGCACATCCCCTCCCAGCAAGCAAAGACAGTACCAGCCCCTCGTCCCGCGTGGACCCGCCCGTAAGACAGGGCACCTCGGGGAGTGCTGGGAGGAGCAGCGTCCACACTGCACGGCTGAAACCCCCTCCGGCCTAGAGCTGCCCCGGTGCGAGAAGTAACCAGTGACGAGGGTTTATTGACGGCAGGAAACCGTACTGGGCTCTGGATCTCTTCCTCTGCCTAAGGGCCTCTTCCTCGCCGGCAACCACGAAACCGCTCAAGGATCCCGGAGGGTGACGTGCGCTTATCAGCACCCCGCCCGCTCCTCAAGGCTGCGCCCCGTGGCCGCGCTCTGCCAGCCGCACAAGCAAGTGCCCTGAAGGCCGGGCACCCTGCCTGCTGACGGCGGCTCTGTGGGCGTCGCCCCGGGGGGGCGGGAGAGTCAGTCTCAGAACTGCAGCATGATGTCACTGCCACCCTTGTGCCCACCCACCGCCGCACGCTGGCCTGCTCTCGGAATCCGCGGTGATGCTGTGGGTGGGGCAGCAGCGACGCCCACGTGAAGGAAGGTGCCCCAGCCTGGCCGACGGCAGGGACCGGCACCAGCCACTTCGGGAGCAGAGCCGGGCCCCGGTCCGCATGGGGCCCCGGCCCACGCTGCCCGCTCCAGCCGTGCCCTGCACCCCTGTGAGCACCGTGGCTGCCCCGGGCGCAGCCTGGCTCCTGTGTCACAGGGTGCGGTGCCTGAGCTGGGCTCTCAGTGAGGACTGGCCTGGGCTGTGCCCTGTGAGACACACCGGGAGGCCGCCGCTGACCACGTGGCTGCCACGTGCTCCGCGAGCCGTGAGTGCCTGCTGAGGATGGGCGTCCCAGCCCACAAAAGCAGCTCTGACCCAGGGCGCTGACATGCTTGGTCTGCGCACCTCTTCCTCAGCCTCAGTATCTGGGAGGCAGCACGGCCTCAGCGCGGGGCCGGCACAAGAGGTGACCAGTGGGTGCGTAGATGTGTCCGGAAACACCGGAGCTTACGAGGCACCAGGCCTGCGTCCCGCGGGCCACGCAGAGAGGCGGCCTGGCCACTGCACGCTTTGGGACCCTTCGTTTTTTTCTACTTTATGAATAAAAATTAAACAAAAGGCCAGAGTAGATGTGTCACAGGAGGGCCTGGCGCCCTGGCCTGGCTGCGTGCTCCCCAGGAACTCAGCTCGCCACGTGAGGGAACACACTACCACACAACCACGGGGACACCTCACGCGTCCCAGCTATGACAGGCAGGGCCGTCCCAGGTGGGAGGGCACCCGGAGGCTCTGGGACCCAGCTCTGAGGGTCGCTGGGGCCGCGTGGCACAGCCAGCCTGGCCTCTGCAGCCATGGCGATGATGGAGCTGCGAAAGCTGTGGGAGGGGTTACTCTCTCTTGGCTGTTTTTTTGGTAAAGCTAAAATTGCTTCAAAATACAAGTGTTTGAAAAATAAAGTTAAACTGTGCCTCAGAATCCTGTCAAGGGTGTGTGAGAATTCCACACAGAGTACTGGGAAAAACTGCCCAACCCAAAGGGCCACAGTGGGGAGAAGGCGTGTGGAGCGGAAGCGCCGTACCCCCACCCTCCACGTCCACCAGGGAGGCCACAGCACGTCTGTGGCTCAGGGTCCGCGTGGCACCACCGGCTCCGCAGTCACAGCAAGGCCCCAGGCTCCAGTGGGTGCCTCTTCGTTGTCCCCAGGCGGGTGGGCGGCCACGGGCCCCTGCTCCCCAGCCCAGCTCAGCAGGGGGACTGGAGCTCTTGGGGGGACACATGGAGCCACAGGTCGGGGACTAGAGCCTGGCCACCAGCATCAGCCTGAGAGCGGCTGAAAAGCCCCTGCGGGCCCCCATTAGCTCCCTGGGAGTCCACGTCTGCTTAGCAAGGCTGGGCCATGGGGCTGCGGTCGCGATGGGGCAGTCTAAACAGACCCAGAGAGGGAGGGACACACTGGGGGCTCTGACGGGCCAGAGGATGGCGTCCCAGTGAAGAGTGCCCTGAGTGGTGACACGTGACCTGCCTGCCTCCTGCAGGTCAGGAGACAGCCGTCACCCCTTGAGTGTCATCATGCCATCAGCAACCAGGAAAGCCAGTTATCCCTTCCCCCATTCACAGCTGAAGCTTTTGCTGAATCCAGAAGCTTGGATGATGTATGGATGATGGGTGGGTGGGTATGTGGGTGGGTGAATGGGTGGATGGATGGATAGGTGGGTGGGTGAGAAGGTGGGTGGAGTGTTGGATGGATAGGTGGGTGGGTGAGGTGTGTGGAGGGAGGGATGGATGGATGGATGGGTGGGTGAGCAGGTGGGTGGAGAGTTGCATGGATAGATGGGTGGGTGGGTGGTGGATGGATGGGTGAGTATGTGGGTGGGTGAATGGGTGGATGGATGGATAGGTGGGTGGGTGGAAGGTTGGATGGATGGGTGGGTGGGTGAGTAGGTGGTGGGTGGATGGGTGAGTGAGTAGGTGGGTGAAGGGTTGGGTGGGTGGAGGAGTGGGTGGGTAGGTGAGGAGGTGGGTGGAGGGTTGGAGGGATGGATGGTGGATGGATGATGACTGGGTGGCTGGGTGGGGGTACAGGCAGAAGCAACAGAAGTGGGTTTGGGGGAATGACACTTGGAGACCACTTCTCCCGCTGCAGCGGTCTTAACACACAGGGTAAGCAGCCCTAAGCTGAAAGACACAGTGCCGGGGTTTGTACTTCCTTTATGCCTGCTCTTAGAAAGAAAAAAGCAAAGCCTTGCTCTCGTCCTTTGGAGTTGCCCCCCTAAGACCTTCCTCCAAGGACACCGAACTCGGCCAATGGGCCAACGGCCACGATGCTTCCTCTCAGGAAAGGGCGGCCTCCCAGTTAGCACCGCTCGCCCGTCAGGGTCCCTGCGGCCCCCTGTCCTCCAGCACGTGAGTGGGGGCAGGAAGGGTCAGAGAAGCCCCGGTCCTGAGAGGAACCCTCACGGTCACTCCCGCCATGGGCAGGGTGGGTGCGCTCGGGGCTCTGATCTGCCCACCTCGTGCTGGCAGCCACCCTCCGCTGCTGCAGCCAAGCCCTGCCACTCCCGCCCGGGCGACGGCACCCCACCCAGTTCTCTCCTCACAAGCGGGCTCAGCGAGGCCGTTTCCCAGCCAACAACCTTCAGCAGTGCTATCTCCTGCTGCACAGCCCCTCGGCCCAGGCCCGGACAGTCTACACACAAGTTTAAAGGCCCGAGGAAAAGACAAAGAAGGAATCCACAGACTCTGAAGGGAGAGACGTCTGCAGAGCTAAGTGTCCACACACACCCCGCCTCTCCTACCTGAGAACAGAACTGGGCGGTGCCCGTCTACCACCACCAGCTCACAGCAGACGGTCCCAGACACAGCAGGAAGCAAAGACCACCCAAACTCCAATCGGAAACCCACAAACCCAGTGGGCGGGTTGACACTAGAGGACTGGAAACCATACACTCTCGAGAATACCTAGGACGTGTCGAGTCAGACCCAGTGACTGGCACATGCGAACAGGTCATAAAAGGGAAGCACGGTCACATACACGCACACGCGCGTGTGAACACACGATCACGTACACGCACGTGCACATGTGACTAAACCGCATGTCCGAAGTGGCAGAAGAGTCTCAGACGAGGACAGAGCCCTGAGGGGCAGAGCGGCTGGGCCAGGACACGTGGCCAGAAGAACTGTGCTCCTCAGGGCGGCCTGTCATCGGGGGGCGTTGGGGACGTAGACACTCAGGCCTCCTCTGGCCCAGGAGCCAGAAGCAGCACTGAAACACCTCCCACGTGGCCTGCTGCACACTGCGAGGCTGGGCGCAAGGCTGGGCAGAGGCCCCACCTTCAGTCCTCGCCGCCTCGGTGGCAAACCTCCCTCCTCCAGGCTCTCGCCACTGGGTAGGCAGTGTGGCTAGGAGCTCCCACACAGGCTGCTGGGAAAACCCCTGGAGTTGCCCAGGGGCCAGGGTGCCTGGCAATCATTTGGGTTTCAGCTGTAAGGTGGGGCGTGGCATGGGGGTCGCAGGCCTTGCCAAGGTGTGGACAGTCCTACAAAGCCCACGACCCGTCTGGGAGAAGGCACTCGGGCAGAGGAGTAGACACGGTCCAGGAGAGCCAGCCAGGGGTTTAAGCTGCAAGGACGTAGCACCCACGGAGAGGTGACAGGATGTGGCTTGTCTGTAAAGGTCACTCTGATTATGGCATGTGGAGAGGGCTGTGGGGACGAGAGTGATGGGGACCAGTGTGGAGGTTCCAGAAGTTGTCAAGACAAGAGGGGCCATCAGCCTGGACAACGGGGCTGGTCAAGCGCTGGACGTGTCGTTAAGATGAGGATGCTGACACACTAGCTGTGGAGAGGGACTGACGTGGTGCACAATCTGGTCGCGTCAAGCTGCAATGTCCCTACAGTGAGCCGCTGAGGATGGCAGGCAGGTGACACAGAGACTGGGGCTCAGGCCACAGGATTAGAACCGTGAGCTCCTAGAGGGCGAGGCCTCTCAGTGCTTCTCACAGCCGGCCCAACGCAGGCAGTCACCAGCTGTGACGGGGGACGCCCCTCACGAACGCCACTCCTCAGGGCTCCCAGGGCCTGACGTTTCAGAAGCAGACTGCCAAGGCGTGCCTCCAAGGTGCCCTGGGCAGCCTCGAACTGCTGAGCCTTTGTCTTATTTGGTATTTTACTGAGTTTCTGGTGAAAGCTCCCAGCTTTCCTGTTAGTAGCAAGTGCCTAACTGTCTATACCACCCGGGGCGTCTTAGGTGTCAACACCGAAAGGGTGTCACTCAAAGGCCTTCAGTGACCACAGGAGGCGGGGTCCTGGATGCAGGCACGTTGGTGAGGCCCCATGCCGGGGCCACTCTGCAGAAGGACAGGAGCAGGGGGAAGGGCAGCGGGGCTCTGGGGCCAGAGGGGAGCCGTGCTGCTGGGGAGGTGGGGCCCCGCGCCCAGAGGAGAGGGCGGGAAGGCCTGCTGCTCAGCCACGCACTGGGCGGCCACACGGCCTCGGTGGCGCTGGGCCAGAGCACGGCAAGGTGGCGGCCCTCTCCCACGCGACGGCCGTGCCCTGCTGGAGGCCGGAGAGCGCCCCTCGGTGCAGAAGAGCCCCACTTCCCAGGGTGTCCGGCCCACAAACAATCCTTCTCCATCACAGAGACGTCTTCCCCAGAACGTGAGGACGTCTGCCCGGGCCGGGACCCGCTCCCACCCCCAGTGTCCAGCGTCCTGTCTCCAGCTGCCCCATCGGCGCCACTGGCTTCTCGACGGCTGAGTCCTCGGAAGGAGATTGTCCGGCTCTTCCTCCAAGGCACCTGAGTGCACTCGAACTTCTGAACTTCGGTTGGCAAACGAGTGCACTCGCTACACGCACCGCCAGGGCCGGGTGCTGCAGGTGCCGGGAGCCTACAACCAGCAGGGCGCAGACAAGCACAGGAGTCGCGAGCCCAGGTGTCTGTGAGCCTTGCTGCGCGCCCACTGCCATTCCTGTCAAGTCTGCCGAGAGAAGCACCTCCACCACCCTGACTCAGCTGAGGCGCCGGGTCCGCATGGCCTGCACTCAGGAAATCCCCATCCCAGGCACTCCTAAAGGTGAGGACGCGCGCTCTGCGGTCAGAAAACCCCAGCGCCTGGCTGTGTGATCTTGCACATGTAACCTAACCTCTCTGAGCCACTTTCCCATCTCTAAAACAGGCGGTTGGCTGGGCCCGCCTTATTGCTCTCGTGTTGTGCTGAGCGAGCGAGCCACGCACCGAAAGAGCAGACGAGGCTTTCCCAGAGGCGGCTGCAGCTACAAGACTCCTGGGGGCACTCACTGAAGCGGAGGGTCGGGGTCCCCAAACAGAAATCGAGGTCCCTGGCCCAGGAGCCGTGGCCAGTGAGACAGGGTCTGGGTCTCTGGCCCCGGAGGTACAGTGAGCCAGAGGTCAGGTCTCCAGCGCGGGTGTCAGCTCTCTAGTCCGTGGGTCAGGGGTCCCGGCCCAAGGAAACACGGACAGTGAACCTGGGGTTAGGTCTCCAGCCCGTGGTCGGCGTCCCCAGTCCGCAGAGGCATAAACAGTGAGCCTGGGGTTCTGGTCCTGGGCCCTGGAGTCACAGGCAGTGAACCTGGGGTCAGGTCTCCAGCCCGTGGTCGGGGTCCTGGCCCGGGGAGGTACGGACAATATAACTGGGGTCAGGGTCTCTGGTTCAGGAGGCCACAGACAGCGAGCCTGGGGCGGGGTCTCCAGCCCAGAAAGGCACCGACAATGAGCTTGGACTCTTGGTCCCGGGCCCGGGAGGCATGGCCAGTGAGCCCAGGGTTCCGGAGAGACAGGAGAGTGGACCTGGGGCCAGGTCTCCAGCCCGGGGAGATGCGGATAGCGAGCCTGGGGCTGGGTTTCCAACCCGGGGTCGGGGTCCCAGCCCGGGAAGGAACGGACAGTGGACGTGGGGTCCCGGCCCCCGGCCTGGGAGGCACGGACAGTGGCTCCGGGGTCAGGTCTCCGGCCCGGGGGTCAGGTCCCCGGGGCGCGCTCACCCAGTTCCCGAAGCCGAACTGCTCGATGGCGTCCAGCAGCAGCTGCTCCTCGCGGCTGGTCCAGCCGCCCTCGGCCTCGGGGCCCCAGAGCGTGAAGCGGCCGCCGTCCACCAGCTGGTAGCCGTGGTAGCGGCGGTGGTGGCCGATCTCGGCGCCGGCCGAGAAGCACTCGGGGCAGAGTTCGATATCCTGGCACTCGGTGCAGCGGAAGCGCAGCGGGCTCACCTCCGCCAGGCAGTACACGCAGTACTTCTTGCCGAGCTCCGCCATCTTCCCGCGGGGCGCGCCGCCGCC